GTTTTTATCAGTTCTGGGGATCGAAATCACAACTGCCTGCTTGCAAGGCATGCGCTTGTGCCACTGAGCTAAATCCCCAGCCCCCGGTTTTGTCCTCTTTAAAATAAAAAAAAGAGAGAGAGAGAAATTCATTTATTAAATGACAAATGCTTGACTGATGAATACTGTGCTCTGCAGAAGTCTTGTGTGGAATTCTTAAAAATGAAGAAACTATTTCATAGATTCTTTTGAACCTTTACCTGTCACAAGGCTACAACTTTATAGACCCAAAATGCATTCTTGATGTATTAACTCTCCAGGCATGGTATAGTTTAGTCAGCAACTACTTAGGAAACTACCATTCTTCCTTCGTCCTGTTTTCCAGTGTTCCTAGAAAGTAAGCCAATATTTGCTAGGTGTAGCAAAAGAGCAATCAGGTGACCTGTGCTGTGGTCTTAGCTCTGGCATTTGCTTACTGTGTGATTGGAGAAGCTTCTCCTCTTCCATGCTCCAACAATTATGGCACCATTCCCTCACAACTCCAAGTATATGTAAGGCCACTAATTGATGAATCCCTGCCCTTCTGTATCCCCTCTGATGTGGGAACTGAGAAGTATTCCTTGTGAGGAGACTAGTTTGGATTGATCAAATGGATAAAATAAGAAAGAAGCTCAAAACAGAGGAATCAGCATTTGCAAATACTCAAACTATGAAGTTCTGGAAGACACAGAAAAACGTAATCATCAGAGGCAAATGATGCTACAGAGCAAAGTACAGACTGCGTTTCAGAGGTTTAGGTTTTAGCTTACAGGACACTGTGTTTTGCATAAAGGATCCTAGGAAAAGTTAAAGTGGGTGTTTGACCTGTTATACATTTTAGGGAAAAAAATTGTAAAAGAATAAAAAAAAATCCTGACCCAAAAATCAAGTAAGCAAAACCACTGCAACTGTTTTAAAGATGCTATAAAAAACATTAAAATAAGGAGAAGGTAAGAAGGGCAGGCAGGATTCCCATCTCTCCTCCTCCTTTCCTCTTTCTCCTTCTGTTCCTCCTTCCCTCCTATCTCTCCCTTCTTCTTGATTTTTCCAATTTCTTTTAATTGCACATGCATTAAACAAAGGAGTGTTAAGACCTACCACATGCATAATAGAAAGAAATTTTTTTCCTTAAATATGTTTGGATTCTAGATAAAAAATCAAGGAAGGAGTTTAAAGTAGTATTCACTATGACTCATTTCCATTTGCAGATTTAATACTCTTAACTTATAAATCCTGGGCTGTTTTATAATTGCTGCCAGTGAATGAAACAGGAAACAGCCCACTTTCATTTCATGTAATTTTAGAAAATATATGTGTCTGTTCTTTACAGCTACCTTGTATCTTTTGTAATGGTTTTTGTGTTTATTGTAGCCTGAACTAATTCCATGGACCTAAGCAATTCTTGTCTTTCTACCTTCCATGTGAAGTTGTTCTAGTTCCAAGCTCATAAAATCAAATGTTACACCTGTGTCAGCTACTCCAGTTTGGCTTCATCCACATTTTCTCTTCTGATTAGAAGTGTTTACTAAATGTAGCCATCTACTCTCTACATCCATGCCATTATGCTCCAATTATTGGCAGCCAAGCTTAGAAAGGCTGTAACAAACTGTGGTGAGAGTGAGCTTTATTTCCTGAATTCCCACCTGCCTCAAGCAGCTTATCCATTAGACCTACTGTGAGCTTGTACTATGCTAACACTGGCTCAGGATAACATAAGGCTCTCTCTGCAGTCATTTTGTATTTTCTCAGTGATTGGAATGCAAATATTTGTCATTACATCAACAGATATCATCAAAGTACGATAGCTACCCTATGGAGACTGCACAGAGTATTTAGCACATATGTCTGTACAGTTGTGTCAACCTACACCTGGTCGGTTTCCATGCGCTACTCTTTTTTCTTCTATTAATTTAGTTGCCATATGGCTGGGGATGGTTCTTATCATTCTGATCAGTATCTAATGCTAGTGTCTTCCATTTTCAAGTTCATATAATAGTTTTATCTTTAGAGCACAAATTAATTCTTTTATTATCCTCTACCTCTTCCTATCTCTCGATCCTGCTCTCATTTGGGAGAGATCTGTCTACCTATTTCTTACTACCTGTCCTGTATTTTGCTCTTTATTTATAATGTGAGTTTCTCATATAAGAGAAAACATGCAATATTCAAACTTGTATGTCTGATTTGTTTCAATTAACATTTTGGTTTCTAGGTACCTAAATTTTCATAAAAATGACTCAAGCTTATTTTTTATGACAGAATAGTATTCCATTGTATATAGATAGTACATTTTATTTATCCATTCTTCTGTTGATGGATATATAGTCTGCTTCCAAAATTTAGCTATTGTGAATTGTGCTTAAATGGACATGGGATTGCATGTGTCATAGTAATACAAGGTCTTTAACTGTTTTGGGGATGAGACCTCGAAGGGGAGTAGCTGTGGAAATGGAATTTCTCATTCTAGATTCTAAGGAATCTCTGTTGACATTTTTATGACTTATAATGCCTAATTCAATAAAATACTTCTTAAATAGGTGCTGTAAAATATTTCCCAGGGAATAATAAGAATAAAAACCATTTTCTATACGTTTTTACACAGATTCAATTATTTTCCAAATATTTCCCATTTGTAATTGGTTGACTTCACTGATATAGAACACTTGGATAACGAGGGCCTATTCTGTATGTCTGATTTTCTTTGTGTTTTAACTTTATCTGGAGATAAGGGACACATGAGATAGGAGACAAAGCCCTTCAGAGATTCTATAGACACACCTTATATTGAAAGAGAGAGGGAGAGAGGTATAGATGGAGAGAGAGAGAGAGGGAGATACAAAGAGAGAGAGAGAGAGAGAGAGAGAGAGAGACAGAGAGACAGAGAGACAGAGAGACAGAGAGAGAGAGAGAGAATTTTTCTTTGTTCATAGCCCCAGGGAGATCCACATCTTACTGATTAACTCCCAGCTCAATTCTAATTTATTATAAACTTCATGGCTCCAGAACTGTGTAAACTCCCTGCTAGTAAAGATAGAGAAGACTCCTATTTCCACATGAAACTGGTAAGAGCATACAGAGATGAGTGCATTCTGTTGACTTTGTGTTTCATTGTCAGCTATTCACAGATATTCAAACAGGCTTACAGAAAATCAGTCAATATTGGACTCTACACTATACTTGTAATCCAAATAGTAATATCTAAAAATTTATGGTTAAGTATGTTCATGATTTTTCTTGATACGATTAAAACCAAGAGGGCTATAGTTTTAAAAGGAACTACAGAACACTAGCATAAAAGGAATGATAAGATATAAACATATTACAGGATATTTACTTCCACAAAGTAAACTTCACACCTAGTATTTAAAAAACATTATAGAAAGGTTCTAAGATTATAATAAGTATTATTGCTATCATTTAATTGTCTTCCTGGAATTTATTTTAGCAATGAAAATTACTCCTAAGTTTTAGAGATTCATTAAATGCTCCATCACATATCTATATGTCTAGGGCACCTGCACCTCTCAGTTTCTGTGTAGTGAAAACCTTTGCATGCCCTCAAGGCAGCTTCCAGCACTTCATACTTCTTCAATAATAGTACATTACTCTTTACTGATTCACAGAGACATTTGTTGATAATTCTTTCACGCATCTCTTCATCAAGCTACCTATTCGCCACTCTCTACTGTCAATGGAAATGTTATCCCTATTTGAGATTAATTACTGTCATGATCCATGTTCAATAACTTATTACTTTTTAAAGGAAACATAATATTAATTAGTCCGTCACATTCCAAATATTCTAGTGTATTTTATATCTTTTGGTACATTTATCTATTTTTCTGAGATTTTTATATTTCAAACAGTTTTAGCACTATACAATTCTTTAATCTTAGTATATCGCCTTACCTTCAGTTCCAATTTTCTAGAAATAAAATACACTGTATCTTTATTTCTTGCTGTTCCATTATTAGTCAAGTCTCTGTGGCAGGTTGAAATTTTGCCCCCTCAAGTTCAACAGCTTTTTCTAGTAACACTAATATATTTTAAATTAAATTTTAATTTAAAATTTTTACCAGTCTTGACTGTTCAATAAATGTGATACTGTCATTCACGTAAAATCCAGTCACGACTTCACATCGTCTGATTTCTATTCCTCCCATAGAATTGTCTGCTTTCACCATTCTTAGTGGATGTGCTTCTTTCAAAAATCTGTTACAGAGCAAAGTCTTCATTGATTTCTCTCATAAATCTCACTTTGTTCACCCATACTCTGATTAAAGTGATATCTATGCAAAGACAACCTTCAAACCTGTATTACTAGAAAATAGAAACATCTGTGCCTAGAAATTTACACACAGTCACTGCTGGCTTACGCATATCTTTCAATTGGTTTATTTTGCTCATTTCAGAGCACAGTATATTCAAAACTAAATACACTGATTTTTAAATTAATTTTCATGGTATACTTTGATATACATAATGACCACATTCATCATGGAAATTGCTACCTGTACAAAATGTATCTTCATTTACTCCCAGTTTCCCTCTCTTCCCTTCAAGCTTTCTTCCCTTCATAACTTACAAAAAGCTTTGTTTCTTATTTTTTCTTCTATTCTCTTCTTCAGTGTTTGTTCCTTCCCTTTCCATTTCCCTACCTCATTCTCCCTCCTGTTTCAACATCCTCCACTTCCCAGTATGTTTTTCTTCATACTGTCTGATGGAGACAAAATGTTAAAAAAAATCATCAAAATGTTATATTAGCTAAATATATCTTCCTTGGCTTCAGGATAAAACCTCTACTTCTTCAATAAATGTCTCTGAGAACATTAAGTAAATATTACAAATTCATTTAAAGGTTTATTTCCAAGGTAGAGACATTACATGTTACATTGAAAAACTCTCCTTTTACAATCAGTAAATATGTTTTCTACAGTACTCTCATTTGTTTATTCTACAGGATGTGAACATTCTGAGCACAAATGCTATAGATCCAGGTCAACATGATAATACTAAGTAATCTGACATCTAAATCTCCAATCTTTTTGCTGACTGCCCTCCCCGGCTTCCAGGCTGCCCCTGCCTGGATCTCCATTCCGTTTTGCGGTCTCTATGCCATTGCCCTCTCTGGGAACAGCATGATCCTCTCCATCGTCATCACCCAGCACAGTCTCCATGAGCCCATGTACTATCTCCTCTCCATGCTGTCAGCCACGGATCTGGGCCTGACTGTTTCTACAATGTCAACAACATTGGGTGTCCTGTGGTTTGATGCAAGAGAAATCACTCTGGATGCTTGCATCATCCAGATGTTTTTCCTTCATGGGTTTGCTGTAACAGAATCTGGGGTGCTAGTGGCTATGGCTTTTGACCGCTATGTGGCAATCTGTAACCCGCTCAGATATACTACAATTCTCACCAATTCCAGAATCATTCAGATGGGTCTCTTAATGATTTTACGTACTGTTGTCTTGATACTACCACTGCTTTTGCTCCTTAAGCCTGTTATTTTCTGCAGAATGAATGTCCTTTCCCACTCATATTGTTATCATCCAGACGTGATTAAATTAGCATGTTCAGACACCAGGACAAATAGTATCTGTGGATTAGCTGACCTTGTTTTTACCACAGGGATAGACATCCCATGCATCATCCTGTCTTATATCTTGATTATTCACTCTGTCCTCAATATTGCCTCTCCAGTTGAACGATACAAGGTCTTCAGCACCTGTCTCTCCCACATTGGAGCAGTTGCTGTATTCTACATCCCCATGATAATCCTGTCTTTTGTTCATCGCTATGGTCGGTCATTTCCCAAAATGGTCCATTCAATGATGGCTAATATATATCTGTTTTTGCCCCCTGTGCTCAATCCCATCATCTATAGTGTGAAAACAAAACAGATTCGCAAATCTATACTTAGTTTGCTTCTTACAAGATAGAGATTATTACATTGAAGGACTATGTAGGTTATTTTCATTGTTATAAAGCAATCCAACAAATTAATGTCAAATTATTTTTTGTTGATTTAATAACATTGAGTAAATTTTTTGTCATAATATTATGATATGTTGCCTTAAGTATTATAAAATCTCATAAGCAAATTGAAACAATACCATAACAAAATATTTAAAATAACATAGCAACGAACATTTCCAAACTGTTTTTTACTAAGCATCAAACGAACTGCTTTTAAGACATATTCCAGTTACATTTCAAAATAACCCAACTAAAAAATAAATATATGTATGGTGATAATTGAAATATGTACTGACAAAGAAATTGATATTTGGGGATATGTAGTCCACACAATTACAATAGATTGTTGATGAGATTTTAATTCTGGTGTCCTACATTTCAAATGGCATCCTCTTTACAGCCATACTGCACACAGTCAAAGCTTCCAAAATAAGTCCTGGATCTCCAAGAATCTCTATCACATCTTTAAATGTGTGCTAGCCTCCACAGAGTATATTTTATTTAATTGTTGGATAATGCACAATACAAAATGTAAAACTAGAGTTCATGCCCTATCAGCATAAGTCACTGCCTAGTGCTGGATAGTTCTAGGGGATATTTCCTTATGAGAAATTGAAAACTAGAAATGATAAAGGAGTAGAATGCTAGGAAATCTGGAAAAGGGGTTCTTAATCTTTTTCTGCACAGAGTTTCTTTGTGAACTTTAATAAATCTATTTATCCTCTACAGAAAAATTGAAAATTAAAGACAGATACACTTGATTTTACATAAAATTTCAGAATTAAAAGATGCCATGCGGGATTCAGGACTGCATAACTCCCTTTCCCTATCAAAATACCAAGGTAAAAAAAAAAACAAAACAAAAAAAAAAACAAAACTGATGGTTCTCATCTTATAAGCAGTAATACAGAATCAGACCCCAAATGTGTGTTTCCCGAAAAGAGAATGATAGTAACTATATCAGTTACACAGCAAGGAAAATCCGTTAAGTATCAGTTGCATAAAATGCTATAAAAATTTCAAGGGAAAATGGAGATGGAAACCTGACAGAAGTCATGTGAGAAATTGGTGATAAATAAAAGGGACACTCTAGGAATCTCACAAACACTGGCTGATGCAGTGTGCTGGACTCAGTACAATGCAGCTTGCAAAGACCAATGTTGTAGGCATTCAATTTGCATTATAGTGCTCAGGGATGTCAAACCAGTACTTAGAGCTACCATAGGGTACTATTTACCACAGGAATTGGTAAAAACTACAAATGAGAACTTTCCAATGGATTCTTTTTATTTGTACACCTGTAAATACAGTTGTATTTCATATCTGGTATTACAGGAAATAATACAAATTAAATGATGACTAAATATATTTTCTAGCAGTTAAAATTATAAAATGCAATATACGATACATTAACATTTTCAAAAAATTATAAAATAATTTATTTACTGCTCTAATAGTTGGTATTTCAAGAATTATGCTTACTATGTTCTGTTGCCATTTGAAGTGTGAGGATTTTTAAAGGTACATCAAGAAAAGTATTTTGTGTTCAAATTTCCAGTTATATCAGAACTCTAGTCATGTTTGACTAAGAATTACCAGACTCCAGTTTGACCCTCTATTAATAAATTTAGGGTCTCCAATGATCCTTTGCCTAAATAAAGTTACAAATTATACTGTACTATGGTTAGGCTTTCAACACATAAATTTTGGGAAGACTCAACTCACCAAAATATTGTTTAGTAGTACACATACAACTTTCTCAACAATGTTGAAACCAGTAAGATTCTCCCAGAAATTAGAAAAAAGCAGGATATAAGCACAGACGCAGCTACAGATGCATCTCTTAGATGGTAGAGAAAATAACGGAGAGAGCACCTGGTTAGATGTGTCAAAGGAAGTGAAGCAGGCAAACCCTGTCACACTTCCACATGGCAAAAGTGAGCTTTCTCTTCAACATTGTGCATAGAAGTCCTCCTGTCTTAATAATGGAACCAACAAAACAACCTTATGATACATTAGATGATAGAACATCAAGAATATATTTGCCCAAGATTCAGTATGTTATGATTAGCATGTTCTAAACATCAGTCTCCTACATAATTAAACAGAGAGGAGGTAAAAATATGTTGAGGTAATTATTTGCAATACGCGGATAAGCTTGATCATCATGAACATGCAAAACAACAAACATCATTTTTGGTATTATTTCTAGAAATGGATCAGTCACAATAGAGTAGTGTGACATTGTGATGTTTTGAATGCTATCTGTAATAAGAACATAGTACTCAAGGATACTTATAAGAGAAAGGCTGAAATAATGAACTATTAAAATTAATTTTACACATTGGTGTTTTTCAAAAGAGAGTCGAGTATATGTATATTCATGTGTGTGCATGTATAGTCATGTGTAATATGCATTGTATACAACTAGATAATAATCTTTATTTTATACTGTATGTCATGTGCTACATATGTGCGTGCACTTTGTACATACATGAAATAGATTTGTGGAAAAATAATGTAAGAAAGAAATTTAAAATAGAATTTATATTATAGCAAAATGATGGTAAAAAATTCAGACGTCGTATTTCTGAGTTGTGACTATAGGCAGGCCGTATTGATACATCATAGACTGAGGCACTCCCGCTTATGAACATAAACAGGGTAAGTACGTATCATCTGTAAGGCCATGGATGTGACAAAGCTGTCTACATAGACATAGCAGAGTGCTATGACTTTCACATCAATGAGCTCAATATTTTCTTCCAAAAACATCTATTCTCAATATCTTTCTCTGTCCAGCTTTAACAAGTTCACAATTAGAGATCTGTATTGCTTCACGTTCACTGTTACCCGTACTTAGCCTGTTTTCATTACCCAAGCATATGTCAACTGTGTGACAACAGAAGTTTATGTTCAAGCAAGATATACTACTTTTAATTCATTTATTTTTGACCCTCCTTTTTATTTCTTTGTGTTTTCTAATGATCCCAGTACTGGCTGAGAACTAGACGCCTGCATTTTCTTATCCTGACCTTACAGAGTTGATTTGTTTTTCTTCAAAGCAATGGACAAAATGCAAAAGCCACAACTACTTTTTGCCCCTCAGGGTCACTTGGGATCAGTAAACCTGGCATTGTGGGGAGCCGTTTGCCCTTGTCCAAGGAAACCACTGAGAGAGTATTTAACAAAAATAGCTCTCCTTAGTTACTTTGCTGAGGGTTGGTGAGGGACTAGAAGCAGGGCATTAGGGTGGCATGTTGGGGCCCATTAAAACCAATTCCTCTTTCGAGAAAAGCTGCTTTTCAAGGAAGTAATTCCAATTACCATTTATCACCTGTGTTTTTCTGCAGATTGTGTCTGTCTTCGTGAACCAAGTTATGTTTATGAGTAATTGCATATGCATATTTTTCACTTTTTGTTTTTTAATTAGACATTATTTTATTTTTATTGGTACATGTTTGTAGAAACTAATGATTATATTCTTCAGGGGGGGTTAGTATATGTACATAATACATCTTAATTCTTTTTTCTTCCCATTCTCAACTTTTTTGCTATTTCGCCCTTCTCTCCATCTCTTGGTCTCCTTTCCTTTTGTAAAAGATGTAGCTCTCTATTTCCTATTATTTACCTTTATTTTGCTCTTTATTTATATTTTATGTTTCTTACACAAGAGAACCCATTCAACATTTAAATTCATGTGCCTAATTTTTTAGTATACTTTGAGACCATAATGTTAAGTGTAATATGTAAGAAGTACATACCCATATTTTAAAGTGTAGCCATGTAAGTGGATGTGCATTTATACTTTACTGTCACAGTCAAGTGCTTCTTCAATTATAGTACTTTTTTTTTTTTTTTTTTTTTTTTTTTTTTTTTTTTTGGTACCAGGATCAAGCTCATGAGCCTGTGCTTGTCAAGCAGGCATTTATGCCACTGAGCTAAATCCTGGGCCTTGTTATAGTATTCTTTAATAAAACACACCAAACTTGTGCTCACTTTGGCAATACGTATGCTAAAACACATCAAACTTCATAATAGCTAGTAGAAAAGATACTTATATTCCCAACACAAATGAATGATAAATATTTGAAATAATACATATACAAATCACTTGAGTCTAATCATCATACTGTGTGTTGAAATATTACACTATACCCTATGAATATTTTATTGTATAAATTAAATAAAATTAAAAATCTATAGAAATACATTTTAATAGTCACAAAAGTGGGCAAAGGTAAGAAAATACTATCAATTATAAGTAGTCTAAGAATAATCTGATGATTTCGTGTTAATAACTAAAAACAAGGCACCTAAAAGTCAATATTTTTAGTCTAATATCTAACCTCTGTCCTGTTATAATAGGTTTTTGCTTACACCAAAGCACTCTCCCCACTTTCCAGGTGTCAGTCATGCTCTGCTAAGTGCAGTTTTTGTCATCCTCATTTCTCATACTCTTTATTCTCCCATCCAAATGCCCACCTTCTCTGCCCTGGGAAGACTAAACCACAGTGTCTTCACACTCCATGTGAAATTGGAAGCAAGAAGTTTAATCACAATGTCATGCAAGATAATTTAAATAGGAAAGAGAAAGCTGCCTGATGGGACTAACATGTGGAATGATGAAGGACAATATAGCTCAGTATCCATTTGTCAAGTCGCCCACTCCTATCTACATCCATTTTTTTTTTTTACTTACAGTATAGTTAAGAATAAACCCCAAGTGTATTTAGGATCATTTTTATTCATAGTGAGTATGTTATTTTTAGAATAATTTTTCCATGAATACAGAAAACACAGATAATGATTTTTTTTAAATCATGGTATGAGTCAGGATATCAAATTTAAGAATATTTAAAATATTTTAATTTCAGTTATCATTAGAGCCATCTGAGTGCTAGAGATATAATGTAAATTAGATATAGCATTTTCCTTGAAAATTATGTGATTTAGCAGACAA